TCTGACTTCTCTAGACAAAGCATAGAATCAAATACTTGCAGAAAGGCTATCAGTGACTTTTCTTCTGCTTTCAAGGATCAGATCACTGATCTTGTAAGTACACCAGAGATAAAATCAGTTTTGTGGTCAAAATACCTATGCTTTTATATTGCCCTTAAGACATTGATTTTACAAGCTGTAAAAGTTTCCAGTCCATAAGCATCATGAAAACACAATTTGTTGTGTGCAGGTTAGGATTGGCTGCCTCTGTGCAGGCTCTCACAAGAATTGCCTCTAGGCACAGCACTGGGGTCATGCAAGTACTTTGCCAAATTGTCACCTTTTGAGAATAGGGAAACATCCAATAATTCTGAAGTGTTGGTCATATTTAAATCATTATGTAGTAAAACTGGTGAGCTGCATAATTGAAATGAGCATACAGCTATGTCAAACACTGTTTTCAAAGCTCATTGACTAGAGTTTTAAAAGGTGGATTTAATTTTTGTGCTGTCTCAGTGACTTCTTAGTAAGGTCTCTAACATATTCCAGGGAAAATCATCATTTTTGAATTAACATTTTGAACATAACTGTAAGTGTAAGATATTCAAGAACCATCTGGAGAATCGTGTGCCATGTGCTCTAGGATGACCCTGCTTGAGCAGGGAAGTTGGACCAGAAGACCCACGGTGATCCCTTCCAGCCTGAGCCATCCTGTGATTTATTGGCTGGAAAGATTAAGGTGATTCTGATGGGTAAAATAAACTCAGAGCTGTGCAGGAGTTGTGCCAAGTACAATGGCTAAGTACTAAAGCTATAGTTCTGAGTAGTTCCTTAGAAGTAACAAGTGTTGGAATTACCAGATTTATAATCTATGTAAAGATACAGAAAAATTAAGGTAGGTATTATTATAGGAATTGGTACCAGAAGTATTATTTGCACTAACTGCTTTTGTGCTACAGTTTTCCTCTGGCATGAGGAGAGAGGGAAGAATCAATACACAAAAGGGTGATGTCCCTTTGAACCAGGGTTGCTGGTTTTTTTTTTAGTAAATAACCAACTTTTTATGTTATTCCTAAGTAATTCTTGCAACAATGTTTTTAGGAGGATAGTGATGAACTCAACCTGTCAACCTGTAATTCTTCTTCTCTGTAGATAGCAGAAGTCCAGGAATTAAAGAATATGAAGAGAAAAAATGCTAAGGTAAATACATGTATCTCACTAGATTGTAGAGCATACAGTTGTGGGCATTGAAATGTTGATAACTTGACTGGAAGAGACAAAACAATTCACAGAAAGGTGTACTGTACTCAGAATCAACTGCACAAACAGAGGTTAGGGAACTACATGAATTTTTTTGGAAAATATCTGGATAAATGTGGTGGATTGCAAACTCCAGGTGTATACTGCTATATGGTGTAAAAAGAATGAATGCACATTAGGATGGGTAAGATCTATGCATGTCAATTACTCTTTTGGCTTTTTGTGGTTTGGGGTTTTTTTTGGTTTTTTTTAATGAGTGAGGCCTCTGGAGAGCCAGTTAAATAATGAGAGTTAACCTTAAATGAAACATAAATGAATATAAAATCTAGGAGAGCAGCAAAGATGGCAACCTGTGAGGATAGAATGGGATTGCTTAATTTAAAGAAGGGAAGACTCAGGCAGCTGCATTCCCTAAATAGATGCAGAATTTTTGTTCAGAGGAAGACAGTTCCTCTCTTCATTTATAGCAAGTAGGAATTTGCTGAAAATGCAGTAGGGATGTTGACAGAAGGAGGCACTAGTGTAAGGGCAGAAAAACATTGCACTGGTTTCATCAGGGAGAGGTGAATGCCCTGCAGAAGAGAGATTTAAGAGCAGCTTAGGCACTGTCTGGATTTCTGCCCACATTAACATCTTCTGCAAAATTTTCAATGGCAAAATAGCTTTAACAAATAGTCAACACAAAGCTTATCCTGGGAGGTAGCAATTAATATGGCAGTCTTATTGACTTGGGGTGATATGGTAAACTGCTCTGCATGTAAAATGAAAATTGTAATACACAACTAGCATTCACAGCCACTCAGATTTATCCTTAGTTTGCTTCTTAGACATTTGTTTAAAATTAAATTTTTAGTTGCTAAATTTAAATTTATTAAGAGTTTTGGGTGTTACTTTTTTTTTTTAATTGCATGTTATATTAAAGAAAGCTTACTTAGTTATGGCAATCATCCTGAACACACATTCACATTAATTTTCATTTTTAAACCTAAAACCTCCTAGAGTTCATAATGTTTGAAATCAAAATGTCACCAACTCCTTTTGTATGCTTGTAAATCCAGCGTTTCTTAAGAAAAATTTTGGATGGAGATTAGAGTTTGACATTTTAAACAGCTTTAAATTGTTTCAAATACAGATGTAACATATGGCAGTTTATCAGGTCTGGTATCTTAGGATCTTCCACAATGACAACCAGTGTAAAACCTCAGAGAAATAAAAGGCAATGAAATTTGAGTTGTTTGCCTTTGAAGTTTTAGAAACTGTTTCACAGACTTTGCTCACTGTCTGTTTCAGGCAATAACCAACATCAAAAAGAAAAGGCAGCAACTGGTGCAAGCCAGAGAAGAGCTAATTGGGTATGTTTCTAATGAAGCACCATAATAGCCTGAAGAACTTAAAGAGTCTGGTATTTTGTAACTCGGAAGGGAAAGTAACTTTTTTTGTTCTCTCATTTTCTTTTCATGAAGTTACCACTGTCTTGCTTTTTGTTTTTACAAAAGCTCATGATAACCTCTCCTTTACATATTTCAGTTGCCTAGGCAGTCATTCTTGCAACTAGTTATTGGGAGGATGTTTTACACCATATGTTCATAGGAAGAACACCAGTGATAGTATTTGAATTGCAAAGGTGCTGGCTCATAAATTACAGAGGTCATACAGAGGATTCTTTGGTTTTGAGGTGGGAGAGTGTATTTCACCCCTGCAGGTGGGCAGGGGTTGCTCTTAGTACATGATTTATTTCCTTCTCATGTGGCCACATAATTCCCCTTCTCTAACTTGACATTAATCTTAAGTGTCTTTTAGATACACAACACAGGAATTGTGTGCTTGGAAGAACCATTAGACTTCCCCAAATCCCTTGGGTTGCTAGTGACAAGCTTTATACTGAAGCTGCATTTAACATACACCCTGTGAGGTAACTGTAGGGAACCATGGGCTTGAATCCACAAAAACAGGGTAAAAACCTTTTCTCCATGGCCATGAGAGGTTATTTTCTTTGTAGTACTATGGACAGACTTCTCAGAGAACTATTTGAAGCCCCTGAAAGCTGTCTTCACATTTTTGTATGTTGTGTTTTAATCCTTTGATCATTTTAGAAAGTTTGTTTTTCCTGCAGCCCTGTTGTATGAAAATCACTGTTGGTGCTCAGTTTTTGGAGTGCTACTTTAATGGATCAAGCACTCCAGGTTATTTAGCAGATGTGTAGGTAGATTGTAGATCCTGAATATGCTTCAGCATAAGCACTGAACAACTGAGCTTTGCAGGCAGGGGTGTGCAGAAGCAGAACACCTTGTATTTAAGAAACTACACTTCAAAAATGTAAATGCCTAAGAAAGAGTGGTGACATTGTCAGACTCAAAAGAGAGCTTTGGGTCTTTTTGGTGTATTTGGACTCATGCCCCTGTTTAAGTACTATGCTTGTTCTGCCTTCTATAGTAACCTGTGTTTTGTATTTCTGACCAACCTTTTAAGAATTCCTTCAGAGGAAATAGGGTCATAGTTACTCATGCAATAAATATGCAGATGTAAGCATCAAAGTCTGGATCTTTTTTCAGGGCTGAACCGCAACTGACACAACTACAAAAAGAATATGCTGAGTTACAGGAAAGGAAATCTTCCTTGAGGCAAACAATTGAATTAATTACTGATTTAAAGGAGATCCAGCAAGACTGTTTGGATTATAGAGAAGAAAACCCAAAAGAAAAAGTGGTAGTAAGTACATATTCTGCATGTGTTTCAGTTTTTTAAGTGTTTTTATTTTATGACATTTATTAACATCTCTTAAGTAGCAGTATTATGTTGTCTTTGTGGAAGCAGCCTGAGAATCATTGCTGAACTTTACTGTAGTATCTCACTTGTTTTTTTGGTCTCATATTAGAACTTGAAGTATTTCAGAGAAGTTTCTGCTGCCTTGCTCTCAGTATCCAGGAATTTAAATGACATAGAAATTAAACAGTTACCTTAGTTGTAACTTTTTAATAGAAATTGAAGATTACCAGTAGGCCAGAAGTAATTAATTTTTTGTGTTGTTACTGTTCACAAGTAGAGAAAGCTCTGGCACTTCCATGTAAGACATTTGATGCTGAGAACAGTGCTGGTATGTCATGTCCAGAGTAACTTCTCATGCAGCTTCAGGACCTGGTGTGGGATTTTCTGTGGACAAGGCTTACACACCTGGCATGTGTAAGGGAAATCCTCAGTTTCAGAAGACACTCTAATTTTGGCTGTTGTTCACTTTTAAAGGTCATCTTGTGCCACTTTAGAGGAAAAATAAATACTGATATGTAAGTGATCTTTCCAAGAGTTAAAAATGTTGCCTTTTATTTCCTTATGAACAGTATGGAACTTCCAGCCTCCCTGCTCTTCTGGTGGAGTCTCAGAGAATTCTAGGAGCAGAAAGGCACTTCGAGAGTATCAATATGAAATTGGAAGAGGCTCTGGCTGCACGAAAAGAGCAGAAATCAAAGAAAAATTAAGTGTCTTTTTAAGACTTTCAGACATGCAGTAGGAACAGTTATTAAGAGGCATCAGTGCTTAAAGCTTGTTTAATCATTGTTACTCTGTTTTGTTTCAGTGTTTAAAAGAAGTCAACAACTTAGAGATTGTATCTTTTTATTGTCAAATAGTCTCAGAATATCAATGAAAGGAAATAGTGATCCCAGTTAATAAAACTTTTCTGTACTCTGAACAATGCTGGGTGTTAATCTTGTCCTGTTAAAATAATCTTGAGAGGAATATATTCATAAAGAGAACACAGACTCTGGTTCAACAAAGATGAATAAACAAATCTTTTTATTAAATTTGAATTTGAAATAAATTATTTAATCTCATTTATGGAAATAAAAAGTCTGTTTTGTTGGCTTCTCAATAAAACTTGGACATACAACTAACAAAACAGAAAGCGTACAGCAAAGAGCATTAAAAGTGCTAAGCTTGGAGCAGCATCCACAATGAGTATTTTAGTCCAGCTCTCTTCAGCCCCCATGTGATCTTCCATGATCTCCTCATGCCTGCTGAGGTTCACCCAGGCTCTCCATTCTTCATCTTGCAGCTCTGGAGTGGTGCTTGTGAACCACCCCGCAGGACCCTTCACACCAGCATGTGACACACGAGTGTCATTCACTGCTGGCCAGGCCTGTGCTTAGCTGCCTTCTTTAGTGTAGAGGTCTTCTTTCCTTAAAGCTTCCAAAAGAACTTCATCTGGGATTTCTTCCATGGCATAATTCAGACTGTCATCTGCAGCTTCAGCTAGTTCCACATCTTCAGCAGCTTCTAGGAAACAGGCATCGTCACTTGTGTTTTCCCACTCACTGTCTGACAACAGGAAGTCTTGAGACCAGCTGTTCTCTGGAGATGCTGAGCTTTTTGACAAGTCTGACACATTAGAATGTGGATTTACTTTTCCTTCTTTGTGCCCCCTGTCATCCATTAGCATGGACTCTTCTTCCTTTGAGAAAAAGAACATCACTTATTTCATATGCAAATATTCTTGATACCTTCAACTGCTCTGCAAGTTTGAAGTTTGTGCTGTCACACAGAATGGACACAGCAGAAAGCTGGCCAACACAACAACATTTTCAACATATTCATATATAGCCACATGAACCTGTGGAAGCCTATTTTAATAGCAGAAATCTGCTGTTTTACTAGCACCCTACAAGTAGCCTGTTGAATACAGCTTCATAAAATAATACCAGGTTAAGTGTCTGTTCAAAGATACTGTCAAGACCTGAAAATACAGTTAAATGACACTTTCTGAAAACTAATAGCTATTGATGAGCTGCTTGAGTAGAGCTCAACATGCCATTCTGCTGTATGATATTTAGAGCTGTATAGTTAAATTTAAAAGTTGAAAAAATACCAATTCTTATTGCCTAAGCAGTGGAAAAACTTGTCTGTTCAGGGCGTAGAGTCTAGGTGCAGGATCAGGTCAGTTTAAATATTCTGCCTGTTTGGGAAACATGCTGCTTTAGTACACTAAAGTGGAGATAAATGAATTTCAGAAATGAGGGTCACTGGCTTACATTTGACTCTGACTGACTCAAGTGCTCCAGAAGCAGTTGTGTTTTACCTTGCATGAAGTCAGACATGCACAGCAGAGCTAAACTTGGGCAGTTTTTCTGTTCTGCACCTGGAGTGGCCTTGAGCTTAGACACTGGGAACTGCTGTTCACATCAGAACAGCAAGTCTTTAGTCCCAGGTGAAGTTACACAATCCCAGTAACTCAGCATTGCTGGAGAACTTAAAAATGAATATATGGAGCTACCACACCAGCACAGCTGCTCTGGGAACCTTTTCTATACCACTGCAACAGTGTGTGGAGCTCTCCCAGCAGACTGGGATGTTACTGGGAGTATCCAGGGTCTTCCAGGGCCTCATAAGAACTTAAGGATCTCAACAGGACAAAAACATACCTCTTTGAAAAGAGCTGGGAGGCATATCCCAGGTGGCAGTGGAAAACCTAAATCAAATATAAGACATTAATGAAAATTAACTTTCCAAAATGTATTAAGAATAATTGAGATCACAGACTACATACTTTGTGATTTGAAGTTTTGTTCTCTGCAGACAGGATCGTGACACTTTTGATACCAGACTTCATTCTTTAGATCTACCAGAATCCTAAGAATGAAATTATTTAGATTTTTAGTAACAGTACATAAACAAAGTGAATTCATGTGGTAGGAAACTAACACTAAATGAACAGGTTTTGTTTGTCCTCAGCTATGGACATTGCTTTCATACTCTTGGCATACTTACTGCACACTTGTTTTGTACAATTTTTAGTAAACTGCAGGTTTCTTAAGTTTAAAGAAATAAATTTTTAAGACTAACATCTGAAAGTGAAATTTAGTCAATGTCATTACATTAAGCTTGGAAGAGAAAGTCATCAAATTAAGATTACCATACAGGACTTAACTCTAAGATAAGATTTTGTTGCTGCTGCTGTTACAGATAATTTCATTATAAAAACCACATAAAATCACTATTTTCTGTCAACTGATTAGGCCACCCAGCTTTTTCAACTGTGCTTTAGAAACACTAAACTTCAAGCAACTCACTGGAGAAACAGCAAGTTCATCCAGCTGTGGGGTTTTTTGAATATCCCTGTTTCTCAGAAACACATTTCCTTATGTTTCAGTGATTTTAAATGTTACATAAATTATTTCTAAGTTAAAATATTTACACTAATGATATATTGTAATTCTCATATAATCTAAAAAACAGACTTTCCATCATTTATTTTGCTAAAACTATAGAAAGTCTGAGTCCTTGTAGAGTCACTAGCAAAACTCATCTTGATTCATGTGGCAGGAATTACCATTCTAAAATGGCAATTCTTAATCATTAAAAGGACAGAGTCATTTTAGTAATGTAAGTATGTAATTTAAGATGCACTGTAAATGAATTCAAAAGCAGTCTGCTTGCTTTCTTATTTTTCAGCTTCCTAGCTGGGAAGTATCAAAACACAGTACTGTGGAATAGCTTTAACATACTCTGTGTTAGCATCGCTGGGCCCATATTTTAAATACCATGAAGATTACTTCACAGAATTATTAGAAATAAAAGCCCAGTTATCACAAAGTAAACTTGGAGAGGGGATAAATAGTTTCTTTGCTTTTGTGGGGTTTTTTTGTAATTAAAAGATTGTATCCCCACAGAGCAAGACAGCAGAAGTTGTAACAGTTGCTGATTCTATCCTTAAGAGTTTTTTTGGCATTTCTAGAGAATAACAGTTGAACAGGAAAATAAAGCTGTTTTAAACTGAATAGTTAAAGGACATACATGATATTGTTACTTTTGTGAGCTCTGCCGATATTTTCACACCAACGGTAACCAGAAATATCATAAATAAGTAGTTCTTTGAGAGAGAAGTAACTCCATTGTCGTATCCCTGAGGAAAAAAAATAATTATTTAAATTCTTTCTAACTAGTGCTGCAGAAGACTCATTTGTAAACAGTAAGGTGGTCTCTTTACCTCCTCGTAGCCCATCTTTATTAACCAAAGAACGAACAAAATTATCAATTTCTGGATATGGCGAACCCTGGTAACCTTCCATGGGATCTGTTAAACCAAAGGCCACAAACACACACTGTTAGAGGGTTTGCCACTGTCATGTGCCATTGTAACACACACACTTTAGATGGACCACGGGCAGAAAATGTACATGAATCACATCACACCCTTAAATCAAACCAGAGATAAAGCCACTGTTACTTTCTTGTAGGTCTTTAAAGTGCCACCCCCAAGGTGCAGAGGGAGCTGGGACAAAGCAAGACAGCTGTGGGTACAGGAGGGAGGGTCAGTGGCATTCAGGTGCTGCAGAGCATCCTTCAGTGCAGATGTACTCTGCCTCCTGCAGAAAGGCAGCTGAAGGGCCCTCCCAGAAATTACCAGGTGTACAAGTCACAAAACATCTACATTAAGAGTATTTTTTTATATGCAGTAGAAAAGGCTTGAGGTACCTCTGCTGCTTCTGGTAGTTTTACTGTTTAAAAAAGCAGACATTTTTCTCTCCTCCTCTGAAAAGCCAGATGACAGAACTTTTAAGTCATCCCTCGCTCTAAAGAAAGGGGAGAATACAAAGGAAAGAGTAAGATTCTTACAGCACAACACAGTACAATAAACTCCCTGTACCATCCCACAGGGTGGCACAACACGACACAGCCCTGGGCCCAGGGGTGGGCCAGGAGACTCCAGGGCTCCCTGCCAACCCTGACCAGCCCGTGTGGGGCTGTCACTCTGCACCTTTCCCTGTTCCTGCAGCACTTTCCCTTCTGGCCTTGGCAGTTTCCCTGACCCCCATCCCAGGACAGGGGTTCCTCCCCAACAGCAACATTTGGCTCCTGGCCAGAGTCCCAGGACCCACCCATTTAAGGGCTGCTGGTCCACACTCCTACAGCAGGAGTATATATCCTACACATGTAGTATTTATGCAAATATACCCTTTGTAAGGTTTCTTTTTTTTATCACTCTCTACAATGAACTGTTTTTCCTTGCCATATTGCTAACTGGAACCCAGATGATAACAGAAGTCTAAATTCAACACAGCAGAATTTCTCATCTGTATTTATGGTGGATTCAGCTGATGCCTATGATCTGAATACACTGTGTGGTTTACATGTCAGGATTTAAAACCTGAAGTCAGAACAAATACATGTGTTCAGTAAAAATATTAATACTATTTTAACATTTCTGCTACAGCAATGATTAGAATCTTCTTAAGATAAGGTATGACATATTAGAAGTTTAGATTAGATACAGAACACTTGATTATTGTCTGTACAAGTACCCAGCCTACAGAGGGGTCTGCATCAAATGGGAAATCTGGTATGCAAAAAACCATGGAGAGAAACCCTTTGTAGTTTTTATCCTACTCTGAAAAATATTCCACCTTCTTATATTTAACTGACTAGAAATCTGTTAAGTTTTGCTTCCAGAACTACACAGAATCTGACCAAACTTAATAATGATTATGTTTTGGTATTTTGAGTATGTATATAGAAATGAGGCACAATTCAGAGGCTGTAACAGATTTGAAGGCAGGTTTAACAAAAGAACAAGACTCCCAAGAAATTTTTTTCTTCAAAACCAAGAAATTCTACCAGGAACTCCTAAATTACACTGTAACAATATTAATTAAAAAATTGTTTATTCATAACAGTTATTTGTAAATGCTACAGGAGAATTATCATTAAAATAGATATTTAAAAATACCGTACATTTGACTGGAATTAAGTAATTACCCAGTATTGCAGATTAGAGAGGAAAGAAAATATGCTTCTTCCAAGGAAACATCCTTTTCACAGTTGGGGATAAACTTATTATCGTCTGCTATCTTCAGAATCACATTTTTTCCTGCTTTTGATGACTTATACATCCGGAAATTTCTATTCTTTGTATAAACTCCTACAGGAAAACAGATATTTCTTAACACAGCAGTGCTGGCTAGGAATTAACATAACTGAGCACTAGTAAATAAAACAATTTTCCTTAGGCCCAGCTAAGAGTCTAATGAATGGACAAACACTGTTTCTGACTGGCTCACATCCCATAGAAGAAATGCAACAAAGCATGATCATGTACACTTGTATGTTACAGAGTAAGTAAGACAAATGCTCAACACCTCTACATAGGCTTCTTAATCATTCATGATTAAGAATTATTATTGTTAAAAGTTCCCCTTCAGTACAAGAAACTGGTTCTTTCACAATAACTTTGTGAAATACAACTAAGCCCAAAAAGCTGCACAATTATTTTAACCAGAAATAACTTAATCAAACTTTCTGGTTTCTGTGGACTGCTTCACAGCTTTTCTGAGGCATGTATCAGGAAAGCTTAATTCCAATCTCAAAAACAAACAACAAAACAACCATCAGGCATCTTAACATTGCATAATCTGTCTAATAATTGATTGAGAAGGTGAGTTTTATTAGCAGGTTGCATTTGACTTTCATTAAGAGAAAAGCACTTACAAAGCTCATACAAGAAGAACATCACAAAACTTTCTGTCACTGCAGCCTCATGATATAATTCAGTAGTTCAGCAATTTTGATTTTAGCTTTCTAATTCTGAGGTAATGTGTATAACATAAATACTGAAGGTGGTTAGTTATGGGAAACTAACATCTAATTCTTTAAAAGTGAGACAGGAAACAAATTGTTTTGATTTAAATTCCATTTACAAACATGCTTGAAAGAATTTTGAACAGTAGGTGAAAATAACCCCTCTGACTCAGTAACAGAGAAGCCTACTGTAGCCAACTTTGGGATTACATTTCAATAGATCAGACATACTGAAGAGGCTCACAATAAAAATGATCCTGAATTCCATGAGAAGAATTTGAAGGAATGGAGGTTCTTCAGAAGAGTCTGAAGAAAAAACCCAAGGTAAAGTTCTGTAATGTGTAACACACTGCTGTGCAAAAGCGTACTAAGCTATTTTCATTTCCCTGAGATAAAGCCAAAAGCAAAAAATACACTCCAAATATGGAGTTAAAGAAGGGTGGAAGTTTCAAACTCTAGTTTGACTATGGGAGTTGTGCTCCTGGAGATTTGTAACATTTTAACACCATGAACAGCCTATGCCCAGCTGGGCCATGAAGTGCCCAATCTAAAATTTCTGTTATTTCATCACTGAAAGCTAACAGCTACCATTCCAAACAGGGAAAGAAGGCTCAATTCATACATGTAGAATAATATAGAAAGCCATGCCTGTAAGACTTGTTCCTTTATTAAGCAGCTTCTAATTCAACTGAAATAACAAAAATGCAATATATGCTATCCTCTTTCAACACAAATGGGAACACTAAGCCCTTAAGGGGAAGAAAAAAGAATCTTATGAGGAAAGAATTCCTTTAAACTTCAGAACAAAATAATTAAATGTAGTAATATAAGAAGTTCCCTAGACCATGAATCTAAGGCTCTTTTAAAGTACAGCACTTACCTATGAGGAAAGAATTCCTTTAAACTTCAGAACAAAATAATTAAATGTAGTAAAATAATTAAATGTAGTAAATAAGAAGTTCCCTAGACCATGAATTTAAGGCTCTTTTAAAGTACAGCACATACAATGACAGTTCCAGCAGGTATTTAAAGTCTGACCATAGGAACAACAGTAATCAAAGATTAAGGAACATTTCATTCTTAACCTTTGCTGCATCCCAAAGGGGTTTAAAAACACTTATACTTACCTAGATCCACAAAAAGCTGCTTGTTGCCCTCTTTATCCTTTACTATTAGGAAGGAAAAATCCAAGTTTTCTCCCTGGTGTGGCATTTCCATGTCCTTTGTTTCGTGAACAATGGCTGGCCTGTCTTTAGAATCATCTTCAACAGCTGTGAGGTTTGTAAGAGAACCATCTAATCCAGTTCCTGCAGAACACTGCAAAACACTCCCTGCTTCTTCAGTTGGAATCACAGCAGCCCTATTCTCCATTAATCTTATGGCAGGCTGCAAAATGGTTCTCACAAAGTTACCTTAAAAACAACCAAAAAAGGCCAAAAGCAGGGGATGTCATTTATAAGTCAAGAAAGAACTTAAGAGAGTTTCTGTGCAAACATTTTTCAAAACAGCCAAGATGGAAGTGGTTGAAGTTCAGGGGTTTTTAAGTCCTTCTGGATTGTTAAAAAGAATTTTTCTGACCAGCCCACTGTATAAAATGGTTCTGGCCAGTGACTGAAAAACCAATGCCTCACAAGTATTTGTGCTAAACATTAAAAAAAAAAAACCCTAGATACTAACAAGCTCAGATTTAGGATTCTAAAAATATTGTGATTGTTCCCTCACTACTGCTTTCCCTAATTTCACTTTCAGAGTGATTTAAATGTTTACTTGCAGCTTCATGGTGTATTTACTGATGTAAGAGCTTGACCAAAGCTTACTCAAACAAGAAATTACTTTTACAAAAGTATTTTGTAATGACTTTTCAAACTCCAATATTGTAATTCAACTCCCATTGCACCTCCAGGCTCTGCTAGATGGTAACCAAAGACAAAGAAAACCATGGCCAAATTAGTTCTAATGAGAAAGCATGTAAGATAATAAACACAGATGTGGGGGAAAACCTATGAAGTGGAAGGAATAATGGCAAGGATGATTCTTTACTTGTTGGATGAAGCTTCCCTGGGGAACGTGAATGAGTATGAAGTACTGTTCCTTCATGCTACATATCAGCAGAACGACTCAGCTTATCAAGCATCAAAATCATCATCCTCATCATTCATTACAGGACTACTGAGGCACACAAATGTGTCAAGACAACCCCAAATTGGCAATTCTCTGTGTTGGAGTTGCCATATCTGAGAAATCCCGACTTATATAAACAATTAAAATTGCTTTCAGCTTTCTCTTAAGCATGTTTATGCACAGGTGGCTTGAAATCATATTTGCCCTGCCTCTTTGACAATGTGCTGAGCAGAAATTAACTGTATTTAGAGCAAAAACCAGCAGCTTGAATTCTTAAGACTGACATTAATCTGAACATTAAGGAGCCATAGACTTGTCAGTTTAATAGAAATCAGTATTTTTGTAAATAAAACATACAGGCACAAAAAAAAGTTATAGTTTTGTAAACACATGCTAATTACAGGAAGAGAAAACAGAAGATGAGAAAAAATGAGGCTTAATTAAATAGAGAGTAATTATGTGTATGCTGGGAATACATATTTGTTTCCACACATAATTCCATTAAAATAAATGCTCATATGGGAGATGGCACTGTATAAACTCAAAAGCTCACCTTTTATTTCTAGGTGTAAGATAAAAGAACACACTTACCAATATGAGTGTTATCCTTAAATACAGTCTTTGGGGGTAGAAATATTAAGTGCCGACTAAATTTTTCATCAGTGCTGGAATCCAAGTTCAAGACATCTTCTGATGAACAATTTACATCATAAAATTCTTTTAATTTTTGGCTGACAAGCTGAAATTATAAACATTAATTATGTTGTTTTACTGTACTAGTTGTATCTACAAAACCTAACACAAGTTCAGATTCTACATTTTTCTCAAGTTCTTTTTTCCCCCTCATTTTGAGCATACAAATAATTTAATTCAAACTAACCCATATCAAGTTTTAACCAAGTTTGACATAGATTTTATTTCCTTAAACAAGCAAGTCACTTGACACTTAACTAACAGTGATAAGCTGAGAAGACTTCCAGTTTCTCAGGTCAAAGTCTGGTTAGGAGGCTTTACCCTGCAGGCTGTTTTGCACCACAAAGCAGTTCACGCCCGCAGTGACAATGTTTGCAGTGCACACTCAGCAGGAGTGGAAGATGGAGGCTCTTATCTTACTGGTGAGCTAATTCACTGTGATGATTGAGCTAATTCATGGGTACCACCCAATGAAGAGTAACTAAGCAGAAAACAGATTTCACTCTAAATTAGCTCTAAAAACAACCTTTTATAAACCAAGCTAGTGATTACTCATGTTTAGGACTGGGACTCAGAATCTGAAGATCTGGAAGCTTTGGGTTTTAGCAGCTCAGATCTCCCACCCAGCAAATCCTAAATCCTCTTCTTAACCTGAGGAATCTCTACATTTCAGAGCTGATCCACAATGGATAAACCCCTCCAGATTCTGTATCAATGAAGGATTCTTTGTGAAGGAATTACCTCAATAATCTTTTACTTTTGTTCACTTCTAGCTAGAGACATGTAGGTGACGAAGTCTCACAGACACCCACTCACAATGAGATCTTATTAAAACAGAAGATATTCTTCTAAAAACATATGAATGGCATACTGAACTTGCAGAGAGTTCATTTACAAAAAAAAATGCAATAAAATGGAAACTGCACTATTTAATAAAATTGATCATTAGTAAAGGTATTTAATTTTAGGTACCAAATTGGTAAGTGCAGGCACATGATGCTCTCTACATCATCATTTAACTAAAGTATAATGAACTGTCATCTAAAGAAACTTTCAGGAGAGATTCATCTAAGCCTTAATATACTCCTGCAGCATTAGGCAAAGGAAATGAACTGAGGAATATACGAATGGAACTTTTATTGATGCTGTTTTAAAGAGTACCTAAACATTCCTTCAGTTTTACAGCTTTGAAGTGGCAGAGCACATAACACAATCTTCAAAAGTAAACCTGCCATGTCAGTAAACCTACCATGAATGCAAACAGTCCAACAGCCATCATTCTTTGTTTTTGTCTCTCAATTAAATTTTTTGTCTCTCACTTAAATTAAACCCTTGCTTTAATTAAAACAGTATTTTTACTTACTTAAAAGTAATCACTGGGTCTGCAATTCTTTTAATTGTACTATAGCATAATCAATATAAAGTGGTAAATTGGTTTCATATTAAATTAACAATAAATTCATATTCATCTACAGCATGACTTTGCTCCAGTTTACCTCAATTAACTTCATGACCATACTCTTGCCATCTGCATCAGGATTTGCTGGTTTGTAAAATTCCAAATCAAAATAAAGTTTGCAAGCATCTTTTTCAGGAATTACTTCATAGCAATGCATAAGACTTGTTTTGCAACCTTGGCTAAGGAAAAACAAAAACAAATCACAACCTCTCATGATAAACGTTATGAGCATCATAAACATGCTTATCAGTTGCAAACAAGGATCAACCATCCATATTTTAAAAATCTAGTAGCCCTATAATGCTTTGAAAAAATTGTAACTATCATCAGCATCAAATATCAGCAAAGACTGTCTGGCCTAGAATTTAATTCTGTAGAGTACTCTCCTCTCCATGTCCCCCCTCAGTCTTACAAGACATACAGAAATGTTCAGAATTCAAGGAACTATGAAAAAAAACTTAAGTTATCATTCATATGTCTTTAACACAAACAAAGAGATTATATGGAGTTTTTTCTAACTAAATTAAAAAATAATCTGTCAGTTTCAAAAAAAAAAAATCAGGCTTTATGTATAAAAATTGACTCAGACTTCTTTCACTTCACAGCCAAATGTCTTTCTGTAAAAGAAACAAATGGGGGAAAAGTTCAGTTCATGACTGAATTGTCAATACTTGGAACTACATCATGCAAATGCAAACCCATAAATCAGTTTCCAGACATCTGCATTAACGCCCACTGAAACTGGTGTATGACTAGTCAGAGAAGCATGTTCTTGTCATGTGCTGGTATGATCCCCTGAGGAGAGCTGACAGCAAAAGCAAAATCTACTGTTAATAAATTTCAGTTCAACAGACAGAGTACTTGATCCTTTCCTTACAGGAAATAATGGCACCCTGCTACTCACAAGAAAGTTGAAACCCACTATAGAATATATTGTTCTGTCCTTGTGAACATTTTCCCCATTGCCAAGATGAAAGCTCAGGTAACCCATGACAGCTCTGTGCACTCAGAGCAGCAGATGGCTTCTGGGATGACCCATCCACTGACAGCTCTTACTAGGTAGGATATCCAGTATAGCCTAACTTTTACTAACACACAGGGCACCTTTCAAATACTCACGTGTAATAAAACCAAAGCTCTTCATATGTTGTCACAAGGTAAAACCTCTGTCCACTCTGTGTGTTCTTTTCCAAAGCAAACACATGAACATCCTTTCAAATAAAAACATTGAATGTTTTTTGTTAGTTTTATTCAAAAAACCAGTTTAAGTCTTCCTAAGTTCCTACATGGCAACAATTAAAGGTTAATAAATACTAGACAACTATAAACAGATCACTTATCCTTTTCCACACTCAGTAGCATCTAGTTTTAATTTAGAACATCATTTTGATTTCAGTTACAGGGGTAAAATTTTGAAGCTTTTATTTGCTGTGCAGTAATGAGAACTGTTTCCTCTCTGAACTCTTGGTTTTTTTCTGATCAATATCAAGTTCATCTGAAATGAGGAGGAACCATGTCCTGAAAGGAGCAGCCTCATGGACATGATGACAGTATAAGCTTTATGGGCAAATATTCTTCAGACATTATGTTGTTTAGATCCAAAAATGGAAATCTGAGAAGAAAATAGAAAAAAACTACTGCCAAGCCAATGAGAACCCATTTTGGAAAAGAGGCTGTCAGGATTACTTAAATACCTGAAACAGGTATGGAGAAAAACTCAATACTTTCTTTAAAAATAGCAACCAATATAAAAACTGTTAAACTGAAAGGAGAGGACACCTTTCACACAGTATTTATTTGGCTACTCATTTCCAATCATCTGAACTTGCTACTTAGATGCCACTGGAGAGTTCTATTGTTTTTATTTAGTCTCTGCCTCTTCTTTATCTGTTTTTCTTCCTCATTTTTTCCTCCTCTTTCTTCCTACTCAATTCTCACTACCTTCCCATTCTCCTGCCCACCCTGACAGCTTGGTCATCTTGAGAAGGAGCAAATGTATCACTACAATGTTCCCAAAAGGCACTTTTACTGTTCAAAGTTAACACCACATATCAACTTGTATGTTAGAACAATAAGTTCTAATTGTTCTTGAGATACCTCCAGTGCAACATGACCTACAAAGACAAAAAAAACCAAACAAATTTGCTCTTTCAGGATTGGGAAGAAAAAGATCTTGCAAACTGATAAAGACTTCACTTCCCAACAGCAATTTTAAATTATTCAATCTTGAAAGTATAAAAAGAGTAGAGACATTTCCCTAACACATAATATACCTCTTTGCAGGATTTTACATAATTAAAAGCTTCAGCCTGTCGAGAAAATATTTTCCAAACAGAGGGTGGCATAGAGGGTTTGGACAGTCTTGGTCTATAAACTGTAGGAAGAGGATTTCTTTCATAGTGAGATGCTAGTTCTTCCACCTTCTTCAGTCTTTCTAGCCATTTTCTCTTCATTTCTCCTAAAGCAATTACAGATATTCAAATCAGTATTAATCCGTTTGCAAGGCAATTTTAATTTGGATACATCCTGTGCTCCTCACTGCTTTTGATTCTGGTTTTGTTGAATGTAATTTATTAATTAACTGGGAGTAGCCAATATTCCAAATTAACACCCAACCTTGCTATGATACTCATTTTAATATTAAATGTCTTTACACTGTTTTGGAAGTACAAGAGCTTCATATTAACACTATCAAAGGTAAACACAACAGAATAAAGACAGTGAAAGAAGGCCCAGGAATTTTCATTTTTGTCTACAGAATGGTATTACACTCTCAGAAAATATACAAACTGTTGACTAGACACACAACATCAGTAAGGAGTAAAAAAATACTAAAAGTAAAAAAATACTAAGAGTGAAAAAAAATATTTTTCCTTTATGGTTGGGGAGACAAATGAGATAATTAATTTGTATGGGTAGGACAATATTTGAGTTCATAGGAGGAGTTAAGACTTCAGTGACTTTAGCTCTGAGCTCTGTATCTTGAAGCAAAAGAACTAAAACCCAAAATGAGAGCTCTGTTCTCCACTGCTGACCTTTGCTATTGATCACTCATACTTTCACCTGCTTTAAAAGCTCATGTATTTTTCACAACCTTAAAACAGCAATCTTATCTCTTTTAAAGAAATAAAACCATGCAGTACCTCTTGCTATCTTGCAACCTTTAAGCTTCTAGTTGCATAAAGTAATCCAAATGCTACAGAGTAATGTAGTATAGCATAAACACACATAGGTACAATTAACTGTAAGTGGAACACCTGCAAATCAGGAAAAAACACTGCCAGGAAACTGTGAAACAGAGGAAGAGAGGCAAGAAGTAACAAACATGAAGGGGAATCTTCTTGTTCTGCCCAGCATAACCACTTGGTTCTCCTAACAGCTCCTGGGTTGCAGTGAAACATAAAATGAAACTGAACATACTCAAAAGTATTCAAACAAGCTGGATTCACAGGGTGAATTTAAGTATTTAAATATTCTTGTGGAGCCCCAAAGCCCAAATTTTAGATCCTCTCATTTCCCCCTCCAAGTTTTCCACAATAGAAGTTCTGGACACTTACATTTCTGCCCACTGTTCTAAGCCTGCCAACGTCTTGATAATTCAGTGCCTGCATCAAGTCTAAAACCAGAATGTTTTTTCTCTAACAGGGGTCAAACATATTACCTCTATCCCCCTCGTCCATCTTCTGACCTGTGCATTCTCTTCACTCCTTTTTTGTCCTCCTAGTTTCTTCTCTGGGAATGAAAAGTTAGATTTTAGATAGCAATCAGCATTTCTCAGAAGTGCTAACAAAACTTTCAGTTTCATTTTGATGTTGCTGGCTGTAAATTAACTGGGTGCAAAAGACATCCCTACATCAGCATTTTCCCACAAGGTGACCATTAAAAAAAGAAAGTGAAGGAGAAAACCCATAATTCTTTATTAATTTTAAACTTTCTAGTTATATCAGGCTGTATTTTTGCAGAAACACAGCTGGGAGGATACCTGAACCTGGGAGAAGGGTGATGGCACTTACTTTAAACTGAAACCTATCATGGTTCCTGCAGTCCAAACACCTGGTCTCTCAAGAGTCCAGCATGTCAAGTCCTTTCAAGGCAATTTCAATTCCTGTGTGAACACAGGAATTTAGAACACATACAACATACAACACAATTTAGAACACATACAACATACAATTTAGAATTTAGAACACATACAATCAACACTTACAGACCAGCTTTCTGAGTTCACTGGGAAATTCTCATTTCAGCTTCCCCTCTTATGTCCCACCAGAAATTATTTTTGTTTGACTTGACTGAAAGAAATTTTCCACCAACATGTTTGGACTTCAGTGTTAGTGACTCAGCAGGATGACTGCATGGAGAGCCTGGAAAAATGTCTCCAGAGCAATGACTTAACGAGCTTGCCATTTCATTTTCTCTATTTTATGAAAAACTTCTTCTCCCTTTACCTCTTATGATAACGACAAAAACACATTACCCACACCTGCTGACAAGTGAAGCTGAGACATGCAAATCAACTGCTACTCAAAATAACACTATACTTGTTTCCTGGCTGGTGTGTATCATGCAGCACAGTTCTACAGCAGAATTCATGGTCCTTGATGCAAATAAATCCATGAGATTTTCTCCCAGCTACTGATTCAGCCTTAGAAGAACACATTAAATTCCTTAACAGTAGTGAAAATTAGCTTAGCTATCCCTATGCTGAGCTGACAAGTGGCATATTAACAAACACTACTCATCTTCCCAACAACAAATGTTCATCTCGCCCTCCAAACAGAGGAAGTGGCCTGTACAATTACAGGATCACAGAATGGCTCAGGCTGGAAGGGACCACAGTGGGTCACCTGGTCCAAGCTCCCTGCTCAAGCAGGGTCATCCTAGAGCACATGGCACAGGATTGTGTCCAGTCATTTCCTGAGTATCTCCAGTGGAAGAGACTCCACAACCCCTCTGGACAACCCATTCCTCAAATTAAGGTCGCAAGTGCAGAACTCACTACATCAGATCTGGGGCTAAGACCTGAAAAAGTAGCTTAGTACCTCTTACGAGAAGCTGGAATACACAGCTTCCAACGTTATCTGACTTCTCCTACTGAAGGTCAGAAGCTACTGAAGGTCAATGTACAAATATGAAACTAACTGACCTGAAAGTTGATGATGAAGCCAAAACCAGCCCTCAGCGTCAGAGCGCTGTTGCGCAAGGCAGGTCTGTGGGCAGTGGGGACAGTCACCACAGGTGGGTGAAAACCCTGTCCAGGGGAAGGTCCTGCCATGGTACAGGCAGCTCACCCACGGGGATCTCACCCACTGAGGTCAAGAGGGAGCTGCTCATTTAGTAATTGTCCCCACAGAATTACTCTAAATGGCCACTTCCTTTACAAACCACCATTCTTTCAGAATCACAGAATGTTCTGAGTTGGAAGTATCATCTCCAATCCAACTCCCAGCCCTGCACACAACCACCTCCAAGAGTCACCATGTACACCATGCACCTAACAATGTTGTCCAAATGCTTCTTGAACTCTGTCAGGTTGGTGCTGTGACCACTTCCCTGGGGAGCCTGTTCCAGGGCCCAGCACCCTCCGGGTGAAGAACCTTTCCCTAATACCCAGTTTAAACCACTCCTGACACAGCTTCAGGCCATTCCTTGGTGTCCTGTCACTGATCACCACAGAGAAGGGATCAGCACCCGTCCCTCCTCTTCCCCTCACAACGATGTTGAAGACCACAATGAGGTCTCCCCTCAGTCTCCTCCAGGCTGAACAGACCAAGTGACCTCTGCTGCTCCTCATACGGCTTCCCCCCAAAGCCCTTCTCCATCCTCGTGGTGCCCAAAACTGCACACAGCATTTTATATGAGGCTGTATAAATATACCAGAACGGCACATTTGTTTCAGCAGGCAGAGGAACTCAAGCAACAGCGCAAACCTCACAAGGTTTGGGTTACACCATTCACACCGAAGAGCAGCAAGGCCAGCGGGACCCGGCTCAAAGCCCGCAGGGCGCGGTAGCTCAGTGTTCCGCCACAGGGCCCGGCCCGGCGAGCTCCGCCGAGAGGGGAGGGAGAGAGGGAGAGGAGCCACCCCGCGCCTCCTCAGCCTGGCCTCGCACGGCTCCCTCAGCGCCGGGAGGGCCCGCACGGCCGGGCCCGCCTCGCTCGGGCCGCTCCCGCCACACCGACTCACTCACCGCCGGCGCTCCGCCGCCGCCATTGGAGCGGCCGCCCCCTGCGCGGGGCGGGGCGCCAGGCGGGCCGGGCGGCGGCGGGGCTTTCTGCGCGCCGAGCAGCGCTGCGCTGAGCCGGGCTCGGGGAGACGCAGGGAGTGCAGCGAGCAGGCGGTGAGGCCGGTGGGTGATGGCGGTGCCGAACAAAGCGGGGCGGTGGGGTGGACCAGGCTCTGGCTCTCCAGGTCCGCGTGGCCGCCCGCATCTCTCCCGGAGGAAGTCGGCTGCGGGGAGCAGGAGCGGAGCCGCGTTTCGCCTGGAGCGGGCCCGGCTGAGAGCGCGGCTCCCCCGGCTGCCCGCGGGGCTCCCGGCCCGCAGGCCCGGCGGTCGGTGGCGGGCGCGGATGAGCCCCGGCCTTGCCCGCGGGCCCGGCGGGAGAGCGGCCGCGGAGCCAGCCCAGCGCCGCCCTTCCCTGCCCGGGGCAGAGCGCGGGCCCCGGGGGCTAGCTGTCCAGAAGCTTCAGGTAGCTGGTTTGTTCCCTTTCCGCCTGTCTCTGTGGAGAAGCTGTTGAAACAGAGGGCAAAAAGAAGGAAAAGAAAAGAAAGGCGCTGTAATCCTGAGCGGCTCTCTGGTGACCCTTGGGACACCATGAACCGGAAACGCGGGGTCAGGAGCTGCGTTTGGATCTTCCAACACAAGGCGCGTTGAGCCTTGTCTGTGCCGGGGAGAAGCGTGCCTGGGGGCCGGCGGGCGCTGTGGCTGGGGGCCGGCAGCGTGCAAAAGGCCCTGCCCCAGGTGTGTGGTGCCCTGCCCGCTCCTTGCTGGGCTGGAGGAGAGGGCTGGCGTCTGTAGCCTTTTACCCTGTAACTCACAGATCTTCCTTCAGGTATCCGCTTGTTTCAAACTAACGCGCCGTGCCCTTCATGTTAAGGAACCTGACACGGCTGTTGCTTGTAGCGGTGGTGATGTGATTAATAGCTACAGGTGAATTAATAGCTTAAGGGTCCCAGCTACATTCGGAGTAATTTTAGCTGATTTTACAGCTTCATGCTGAGTATCTAAAAGTCCGTTTGTTTTGGAAGATCAGAATGCCGGCCCAGTGTCAGGGCTTTCCAGCAACTGCATCCAGACCAGAAGCCATGGGAAGAGCTGTCTCAGCCTTCCGTCTGTGGTAGCAGTATTTAGTAGGGGGATAGTGCCTCATAGAAAATGTAATGCTATATTTCAAATGTTTTTTTGTTTTTTCATATAGTCTGCTTCTATATTTTCCTTCTGTTATTAGTCAGATAATTATTGTTTAGTGTTATAAATTGTAGAGGGGAAAATTTTTAATTTGCATGTCTGCAATAGTATCATGTTATGTCATGTATATGTTCATTTACAAAAAATACCTTCTTTGAATGCTTGACATTTTCTCTTGCAGTCATGTGATGTGGAAAACTTCCCTTTTCCTATCTTTAAGGAGATGTTTAACATTGCTGATGTCTGTTTGAACATGTGTTTTAGTAGTGCTATACTCACTGCTTTGTAGTGACAGATATATATACTGAACATGTGTTGTCTCCTGTGGTTTGCATATTTCAGGATCCAGTTGGTCAGTAAAGACCGTTTAGATATTTGCTTTCTTCCATCTCAGAAGCTTTGGTATTATTTTTGTCACTATACCATTCATTTCTGTTGTTTCTTTAAAAAGAAACCTGGTGGTTCTTGTGGCAGTGGTGACACATGATGATGTGAATTTATTTTCACTAAGTCCAGATCGAATAAGTAAATCCAGGCTGGAATGGAGTAAAAAGTTGTTTTATTTATTGTTTTCTCTTATCAAAAGAAAAGCATTGGAACAACTGCGTTTATGTAGGGAAAAAATATTTTCGCTCTGTGCAGAGAGACATTGGTCATTTTTGGTACCTTGCACAGCATAGCTTTGGACCTTTTTGAACCACTTTATTTCTTACATTTCTAGGTAGTATTTATATTACTTAGAAATGTAAAGATCATTGTAACATCACGTTTATATTTGCTGCCTCTGTCTCATTTTTTATTGCATTTTTTTCAGATACAGTAGTATCATACAAGCTTCTTAAAATCTACAGAATATATTTTGCTAGATTATAAAAATGCTGTTGTTCTTTTCAAGAACTTGGTTTTTATATTTCCTTATAGTTAAAAGCTCATTTTATCTTAAGCTTTCAAAGAAAATAACATCAAAGAGCAGAATAAAAATCTGTAATAAATTTTTAAAGCACTGCCGTGATTTCTTCCCCCCGCCAGGATGAGATCATCCTCCACAGGGAAATGCATGGCATCACTGCATTACCTAAAGCAAGATGAGGCAATTCTTAGTGGCCTGTTAG